TCCTGATATAATTATTAGCATCAGCCAGACACCTCTCCCACAAGTGCGCTTTGGTATACCGCGAGGCACGAGATCGCGTTGATCTCTCGTTGCTTTGATGTCATACACTGTCTGTGCAGCCCCTGATTGCCTAATTTCACGTGAATTTTTTTGCGACTAACCGACTAATGAAAATGTATTCGACCAAGCCCTCTTCATATCGACTAACGTTTAGTCGACTATTTGGGGGCAGCCCTACTTCGGAGTATGGAATTGTCGTTTATTTCAAGTTTATTGCTTTTCTACATGTGCTTTTTCATTTTGTGTATTAGTTTTATATTGATTGATAATCCTTTTTACAATTAGTTAGGTAGGTAAATAACAGATTACATTCATTTACATTATTCCTTATGGGGGAATTTGACTTGGACCTTGACCAAATCATAACTCGACCAGTCTTGTGGAACAAATTAAGTTTGTGTTCCAAGGTACCACTGTAATTTATTATTAAATCCTGCCTGTATATTGATCTATCATTCACCACAGGAAAAAAAAGTCATTCTGCTAATCTGCGCCAGCAAGCTTGGCGACTTTGACTGCTTTTTCTAAATAAAAAGAAAATGTCCTACTCAGTTTTCCTTATTGGGCTACACTCTAACTTACAATGTTATATTCCAACCTGTCTTGAGGGACAGGTTTAAAAGGACAGGTTACTTTTTGTAAGATCAATAGATTTGAAAGTATAGTACTTTTAACTTAAATAGCCTACTTTTAACACCAGGAATATTTTTTTTTACTTTTACTTGATTAGTATTTTGGTGTGGTATCTGTACTTTCAGTTAAGTATGAAAATTTGCAATCCCATATGGTCTAGCGGTTAGAATTCCTGGTTTTCACCCAGGCGGCCCGGGTTCGACTCCTGGTATGGGAATGTATGTTTGGGGGCAGCGTGTGGCTCAGTGGGCTAAGCCGTGTGCCTGTAATCACAAGGTTGCCGGTTCAAGCCCAGCCTCAGCACGTCTGCGGTTCCTTGAGCAAGACCCTCAACCCCCAGCTCCCTGGGCGCCGCTACGGGTGGCTGCCCTTCGCGGACAGCTTGCTCTACAAAGAGCAAGTTGAGGGAGGCGTAAAAACAATTTCCCCACGGGGATCAATAAAGTATTAATTATTATTATTAAACTGAGTACTTTTTCCAGCACTGTTGAAAGGTAGAGGGATTGTGACAAAGAATTCATAGCAACTATCTGACATGTGATTCAGACTGACATCATTTCGAAACCTCCAGCCTGGACTGCTCTCTACTGTGCACGTTCTGTCCGTGTGTTGTAATGAAAATAAAAATATACCACTGTACCCAGTTTCACTTTGACTGAGCAATGTCTTCTGACCATAATGTTTTTTACTTATTTGCTT